ACTTAGATAGAACATCAACTCAGTTTGAGCTGTAGTTTGAGAACCATTGTTCTTCAAAACTTTGACACAAAACATGGTATTAAGTAGAGCTATCCTCTCAGATAGGGAGGGCAGTCCGAGCTCTTTCCTCATGTTTACAATTCTGGTTGATTTTGGGCAACCTAGGATGATGCGCATGGCTTCATTTTGCACTACCTCAAGGCTGTTGAGTTGTTTAGGCGGAATAGTCACAAGATGGAGAGCATGATTGTCAACTACAGAACGAATGAAGTGAAGATAGAAAGTACGAGCGTAGGTGATGTTAATTCCATAGCCCTTGCCAACAAGGGTTCTGAGGGGTTTAATGAGCTGCATTAGTTTATCACGAAGGTTGCTGACAAAGTTTGCATCATTCACACAAATTCCAAGATATTTATAGGAGCTACATAGTTCCAAGGGCATGCTGTTAATGTTATAGTCAAGAGGCAGAGGGTGAGCAGGACGAGGATTGAGGACCCTCGTCTTGTCAAAAGATATTATGAGACCACATTCAACAGTTCTCTGAGCAAATACATCCAGCAAGGCTTGGAGCCTGAGTTTGGTTTGTGTCATAATGCAGATATCATCAGCAAAGCATATTACGGCTTCGTTTGGCTGAACTGGAATGTCAGCAATAAGCTTGTGCATCAGTATATTAAAGAGCATAGGGCTTAACACTCCTCCCTGAGGCGTGCCAAGCTCAAATGATCTCATTCTGGTACTTTTAACTCCCCTAAACAGAACACTGGCATACCTGTTGGACAGATAACCCTTTATCCATGTCAGGAGGTTACCTTGGATGCCAAAATTAGCTAGTTGCTCAAGTATAATGTCTCTATTAGCTACATCAAAGGCTGATTTAAGGTCTATGAAGGCTGTTTGTGTCTTATCTTTTGAGTGTACAAGATATTTTGCAAAGCATATCTGTGTGCTACGCCCGGGCATGAACCCGTACAGATTAGGGGCGAGTTTGTCTTTGACTTGAAACATGAGACGGTTTAGAACAACTCTTTCAAGGACTTTACACATACAGGATGTGAGTGAAATTGGCCTGAAGTTTGGAGAATTAGCTTTAGGGATTGGAACTATGTTTCCATGAGTCCATGTCTTAGGCAGAATACCCTGTGTGAGGCTCAGTTACAGGTCAAGCAGTGGATGGTTAGGGATCTCATTCAACAATCTCAGGGTGTTATAAGTTATGCCATCCTCACCAGGGGAGGATGGCTCACCTTTCATTAGTGCTATTGTTAGTTCGTGGTGCGTTATAGGAAACTGGTCGCTAAGGTCTGGTGAGGAACAGGCTATTTCAATATTGAAACCCCTATTAATGTGTGAGGTGTTAAGATATTGTTGTATGTCAGGAGGCAGGGAAGTGATTTGTGACACACTAGACCATTGGTCTAATAGCATGTCAGCATATTCTGCAGGGCTGTGATGAAGCTGGACTGGGGTGGGTGACTTTGTAATGGCTCTAATTTTGTTCCACACTTCTGCTAGAGTGGTTGTTCTATTAATCCCCTGTAAGAAGTGTTCCCAATAGGTGTTTCTCACCTGACCTTTGAGTTCACGAAATTCTCTGTTAGCTTTGAGGAATGCCAAGAGGTTATCACTAGTTTTATTTTGCTTATAAGTGTTGGCAAGCTGTTTTACATTCTCTCCTTCTTTGGTGAGGATGAGGTCATGTGTCCACAGAGGTGGTTTAGTGCTGCCCCCCTTCCTCCTTGATTTAACCCAGGTGGTATAATATGTGGTAATGACATTTACAAGATCACAGCAAAATTCATCCACTGACCCAGGTGTATATCCAGCATACCATCTGTGGATGTAGGCCTTGAAGTGCAGTTTAAGATTATCTGGGATGTTAATTCTGAGCTTAGGATGGGGTTCACACTTGACATCAGCAACAGTGTACTCAGTAAGTATTGCATAATGATCACTGACTAGGTGGTCTGAGATGACCTTAGCCTTGACATTACTGTCTACTAGGTTATACCCAATCACATAATCAAGTCTGCCCCCCATCAGATGTGTCACTTTGTCTATGTCGTATACAGTGATATTATGATTATTGATGTAATTCACGAACACCCTCCCATTAGAGTTACACTGGACATCACCGAGGACAGTGTGACGAGAGTTAAAGTCACCCATACACAGCATAGCATTGTTACCTGATGGCTTTGGTAACACGTCCGCTCGCTGTTCATTACACCGAACATAGATGTTATACAGCGAAAATTGACTGTTTGCTGTCTTTACTGCAAATTGTTGATAGTGAATACTTTCATCATTGTGAGTTTTAATCCATTTACAGACCAGACCATTCTTTACATATGAGCAGGCCACTTCCTGCTCCACTATTATATGCTGTAAACCCAGCTATCCTGGGTGCAACTTACTTCTGGGTGCTGGACGTGTAAGGTTCTTGTAAACCAATTACATCAATGTCAAAAACTTTAACAAACCATTGTAGATCATTAATTCTGCGATTAACACTCCGGATGTTCCATGAAATGAACCTAAGCGTTCGTGTTACTTTTCCCACCTTGAATTTAGCGTAGAGAGTCGCACGCTGGCTTCATAGATCAACCTGACCATTCCAATTTCTGTACCTCTGGATTTCCTGATAATTTTCTTCACAGCCCTTATTCCAGTAGGATTTTTATATGCGGGTTCCCTCATCAGTCCCGCGAGTTCCTCCCCCGTACACAATGGAAAACGTACAGGGTCATGAACAGTCTTCAGACCTGGAACTATTATAGAGACCATGCTGGCAGTCTGGGGCTTATTCTCCCCATCCATGCTTCCATCACTATCGGTCTCGCTCTGGCTACTCACCCTCAAGTTGGTATCATTATGAGAGGAGGCACCAGCTCCTTCAGAAGCTCCACTAACACTATCACTGTCATTGTTCACTGGTACACTTACTTGGCAGGCTTTAACCTGACCTGCATTGGCTAACGAAGGAGAGTCACTGTGCCTGTTGACTTCAGGTGGTGGAGGCGATCCGGCCGCATTGGCATCACTGAGTGGGACTGCTATTGTGGATGGAGGCGACCTCCCAGGACAACTGGGGTGCAAGGCCGTCACACCCTCCTCCCTGGACCTGGGACACTGCCCCCTGGGTGAGGATGTGTTGCTGTTGATTTCAGGTGCTGGAGGCGTCCCCGCAGTGTTGCTGTTGGCATCACTGAGCGGGACCGCTTTTGTGGGTGGAGGAAGCCTCCCAGGACAACCTGAGTGCCAGTCCGTCACACCCTCCTCCCTGCACCTGAAACACTGCCTCCTGGGTGGGGAGGTGTAGCCGTTGATTTCAGGCGTTGGAGGCGACCCGGTAGTGTTGGCGTTGGCGTCACTGAGTGTGACCGCTATTGTGGGTGGAGGCGGGCTCCCAAGGCAACCTGGATGCCAGGCCGTCACACCCTTCTTCCTGCATCTGGCACACTGCCACTCAAGTGGGGAGTCCTGCTCTCTCCCCTCCTGAGAGGCACCTTCCTTGATGGGGCAGCTGCTTGTGGTATGCATTCCTGCGCAGAAGCTGCATGTGGCTGGCTTGTGACAGTATTTCGCCACATGATTGACCCCGAAGAAGTTGTAGCACACCACAGGGGGAGGAGTCCACCGACTGATGTTACTAGGGGTACCGTACGTGCTGCCAAAGAAGCGGTACTCCTCAGGAGGTGGTTCCTTCCTTTTCCAAACAATGATGATCCTACTAAGTTGTGCACCATCCTTATAAAGTCTTCTTGCTCTGTGGACGCCCTGAAGTGACAGAGCTCTCTTGGGGGGAATACCCTTGGGGAATTGGGTGACAAGGTATTCCTTCATTTTTGGGGGTCGAACAGATTCATCTCGCTAAATAAGCTGTATTGAGCCGACCTTTCCATCAATGAAGCGTTGGATAGCATCCGTCTCCTCTCGGCCTACATAGACAAAACGAGGGGTGTTACCTGGCACGACAACATTCAGCTTAGCCGTGCCATAATCCTTATTCAGGGCAGTCAACCAATTAATCTTCATCAAATTGGTTGCGTTCTCGGGGAAGGCAAGGCGCATGTACTTAGCCCGGGGAGCAATGGGAGGAGGGGGGGATGCCCCTATTGGCTCTCCTCTGCTTCTTTCCCTGGGTCCTCATTTTGCGTTTCTGCTGACGTGTCTTAAACTTCTGAAAGCCAGCTTCAGTGTCGCCATGACTGTCCTCTTCATCTTCTTCATCAAGGACATCGGCAGAGCGCCGCCCAGTGATGACTCCTGCCATGGTTAGATTCAGATGGAATGTAGGTCATAGGGCAGAGAGGCGATATGTAGGCCAGCGATGTTCTTGAGGCGTAAACCCTCTTATAGGACAAGGGGAGAGGGGAGCCTGACATCAACGGTGTGAGGGTAGGAGGGCCTCCTGGGAGCGGAGGGAGTGTGATGTCAGGGGGGGGGGACTAAGGTAACAGGAGTATTCTCAGTTTATAAGCACTTTTATTACACTACACTTGTAATAATTGTTTTGAAAGGAAAAATAAAGCAAATATTTTGCCGTGATGTGTTCCAGGCCGGCTGCCATTTTGTTTAGGTATTTTGAACACAAATATGGTAACAGACAAACTGACATTCACACAGGTGACGTTGTCCTTTTTATGGAGAATATTTTTAGCTAGTTTGTTTACTTGTAACAAAGCGATGCCATCGAATGAAAAGATAGCCCTTGTTGGCTGGCAGATTACACCTTCTTATACCTGATAACAATTTAGATGTGCGCTACCCACAATATGTTGAATGTTAAAATGAATTCTCCCTCTGTCCCCTTAAGTTGTATTTTCAAGTGTGTCTTCTACTGTGCCTTCCTACATCTCTCCTCATCCCTCAAAATCTCATTCTGCAATGTTCAAGAATGACTTCATTAGTTCCCAACTCCTCCTCCATGTCCAACACACTAATCTCACTCACCACCACCCATCTTCGCCCGTTCTATCCACCTTTTGCTCTTCCAGGTGGGGGTACTATCCAGGTCGTAGAGTTCCAGAAGGACGGGAAGGCAACCCTGGATTCTGTAGGCGTGTACAATGGCACGCTGAACCGTGACAGAAGGATGGACTCCCTCACGCTCTGCGCTCGCTTCCAGATTTTTTTCTTACACAACCGAGGGACTTTTTTCCAACTCGAAGACTCCCCACATAAATTCGACTCTCAGCTGAGAGGAGGTTAGTCATGTGGGTCACTGGGTGGGAGGGAGATAGTGACAGTAGCTTGAGGGATGGAGAGGCGGGACTAATGTGAGGGAAGACGTAATACATGATAATCAAGAGTTCAATAACTAAATCAGGGTTGAGAGAGAATTAGATACTCTACAGGGTTGAGAGAGTAATTTGAGTTGTGTTTCAGAGTTGTGGCTGGACCGCGTAAGGCCAGTTATCGCTCATCGTTGGCAATTCCAACTTCTCAAGACTAAACTGAGAACTTTCAAGTGAGTGATGTTCTCTTCAGTCTATAATTATTATAAATCTAGTGGTAGAAATGATAAATGGAAAAATTAAAATTAACTGTTCAAGTTAGAATGAATTGGTTAACCTGCAAATGCTCTTAACTTTTTCTTGTAGTATCTTATTGCCTTCCCTTCATTCCCCTGTCAAAGTAGCTGATAAGTGGTGAAATGATGGATCCCTGTGACATTAGGTGTAATCAAGGTGGCTGTAACAGTATACATATCTTGGTTTACGGAATCTTGAGATTTAGCCCACAATTTCTGATTATGTAGAACAATTTGTCCCTACGGAATTAAAAAAAAAAAAAATAATAAAATGAAAAAAAAAGTGATTTCTAGTCAAAACTCTTACAAAAATAGTAAACAAAAATTTGTGTGATTGCATCTGTGGTGGCCACAAGGTGGTTCGAAGGCCACTCACCTATCCAGTTATCAGCAACCACCACAACAATGGTGCTGCTGAATTAGAATTCTTCCCCCAGGTTGTGTCCATTTATGTGTCTGTGTTCAGATTATATTCGTCCTTATGGAATTATAAAATTTATTTCGTGTGGATGCTGGTGGTAGCTACATCGAGTGGAGAGATGCCACACCAAATGACCTTAACATCCCGCTTCTCTTTTTGTAGAAACTTTAGAGACTATTTTCTATTCCAACATGATACAGATCTGACTTACTAGAGGGGGGCCATCACCTAAACCGCTGGAACACCTAGCCCCTGTTGGCACCAGTCACTACTTAATATTGTCTTTCAGATTAAACTGTTGTCTGGTTCATGAAAAATGCAGGCCATGGTTCAAATAATTACACTGCAAGGGCAATTATGACGGGATGAGGGCTATTCACTAGCCTAACTCACTAAGATGTAAGAGCGTGCTCACTATGCTATACTGTACATCACAGACAGTAAAATGAACCGTTTGATTGATAAATATATACTATTACATGTATCTATGTATTTAAATATTAAGATGTTGTATCAGTCACCGTTGGGAGAGCGGGTTTCTAGGAGGCAAATGTGAAAACTGTATATAATTTGTTATAATTAGTTTATTTTTAGCTTTGGGTGCGAATTATATTGGGTTCTATATAATTAAAAAACAAATTAATCATATATTATTATGTGTTTATATAAAGAAGTTTTGTATTAAGAATATTCTAATTGTAAAAGATATACTGTATGATATTCTACACTGAAAAGGAGAATCGGGGAAAACACAAACATCTTGAATAAGTTGGGTTTCTTTAATTACTAACGTTTCAGACAATCAAGTTCTGAAACGTTGCAGGACCTAACTTAGTCAAGATGTTTGTGTTTTCCTTGGTTCTCCTTTTCATTATGAAACTATACTTTTCATGTAACAAGTCCATTGCTGATGATATTTCTTTATTTTTGTTTTGAGGTCTACTCCTCTAGGGCAATATAGCATGCAGCTGTGAGATCAGGAAAGTGACTGTAATCTTATTCCATCAATTTTTAATCTTATATTTTTACATTAATTTATTCACCAGTATTATGAGTGAATATTAGCGGATACTGTTGTGAATGGAGGAAGAGCTATATTATGAGATTAAGAAAGATAAATTACTAAATTACTTCGGTCACAGAAACATGCAGTGCTATTGTTTAAGCTATTGTTGATTAATATAACTTAGCATTTCCTTGGTGCCTGAGCAACTTTGCACAATTTAATGAATGGTTTCCTTGGATGTAACTTCACAATGGAATATTCTGTCAGCCAGAGGTAGCATAAGATTGTCTATCTATATGATTCTGGTCTGTTAACTAAAACAGTTATTTCAGAATATAAGTCTGATTAATGGGCCTAGGAGTTGAGGCTTTGCTGAGGGAAGAGTTATTCAGTAGTGGCCGTGACAATGCCCAAAACCATACCCAGTGTTTCCGGGAATACAAGGAGACCGTTACACATGAACCATACAGCGATTGACAAAGTGACAAAGTTAAAAAAATACTCAGAAATTCGAGATGTGGGTTAGGACAAATGATGAGCAGGACAGAAGGATGTAAGCCAGGTCCAGGAACCAAGCAAAGTCAGAGTGTAGAAGGGCAGAAACAAGAACTCAAAAAGTAGATTGCAGGCGAGGTCAAGTGAAACCCAAATGATTTTTACCGCTATGCAAAATCAAAATTAAAAACGTGAGTAGGCATATTGGATCTGAGGCATGAAGATGGTAGCTATGCCGATTCTGAGCAGGACAAGGCGGTGGTATTTATCAAATTCTTTTCCTTGGTGTTCACACGACAGTATGTGAACAATCTTCCTGGGTTTGAGGAAAGACGGTTTGACACAGCAGTGACCCACATTGTGTTCTTAGAAGAGGTTATAAGAAGTAAATTGTCAAAACTGAAGGTTCATAAGAGTCCCAGCCCTGGCATGGCGAATCCCAGAGTGCTAAGAGTGTTGTGCAACTAGCTTACTGAACCCCTTAAGTTCTTGTACTGTAAATACCTGGATGAGCAAAAAGTCCCCAGTGTCTAGAAAATGGCTGATGGGAGTTCTATATTCTCAAGAAGGGTGATTGTCACTGTGAATAATTATAGATCAATGAATTTGAACAGCAGGGTGTGCAAAGTACCAAAGAGCATTATAATAGATGCCATGGTGGAACATCAACGAAACAACTTGTAAAGGACATAAAACGCGTTTTCTGCCGGGACACTCCTGCTTAACACAATTACTGAAGAGAAGAACTCAACTCATTTGAAAGTTCTCAGTTTGGTCTTGAGAAGTTGGAATTGCCAACGATGACCGATAACTGGCCTTACCCGGTCCAGCAACACCTCTGAAACACAACTCAAATTACTTTCTCAACCCTGTACAGAATCTTATTCTCTCTGAACCCTGATTTAGTTATTGAACTCTTGATTATCATGTATTACTTCTTTCCTCACTTTAGTCCCGCCCCGCCATCCCTCAAGCTACTGTCACTATCTCCCTCCTACCCACATGTCTAACCTCCTCTCAGCTGAGAGTGGAGGTCATCTGAGATGTCTTAGAGATGGAAAAAAGTCCCTCGCTTGTGTAGGAAGATGATCTGGAGGCGAACACAGAGCGTGAGGGAGTCCCTCCTAAGCAGCACGGGTGATGTGTTGATTATATGTAGAAGTCCACGTGCTTTATTGGGCTAATGAAATATATATGGATCCTCATGTTTCGAAGCCAGATTTGGTAAAACGTTGCTCTGATCACCTAAGCGGCACGGGTGGTACCCATTTGAGGTTCACGACGCCATAAGGTCGTTGAACAAGCTTTGTGTGAAATATAACAGAGTAGGGTGTGTCATACGGAGGCGAATTATTTTTTTTTGAGTTTGAAAAATCGGCCCATGGTATTAATGATGTAGTTCTATGTGCAGAATCATGTGATATCTTCAGATTTGAAAAGTTTTCATTTTTTGCTAGGTAAATTTTAACTTGAAATCTTATGAAAATTCAGTATTCCCACCCTTTTAGCAACACCACTAAATAGCTTATTTAAAGTAAAGTAAATGTATCAGGTTAATTTATTAGGATGAAAATGATCCAGAATAGTGAAAACGAATGATCTTGACACATTTATTAAATTTAATATTCCTTTAGAAAACAAAATCATCAAATACAAAACCGGTTTTACTACTACGACCCGGTGTTGCTGCACACCATAGAGAACATGTCTTTCTTGCTTCTGTTTCTACTCATCACCTCCCTGCTGACCACCTGAGCTCGGATGTAGCCTTCCCTCCTCTCCTGGCTGTACACGTGACTGCTGGCCTCGCTCACTTGCTGTACACAACGCTCTATACTCTGGGTGTGCGAGGGCCAGGCAGGGACATGCATGGGGTTGTCCAGGAAAGCTCTGACTTGAACATTGGTGAGGCTGCAGGTAAGAGGGGGCTCACTGCCAGCCTGGATGTTATCCAGATCTATGAGATCAGTGAGGGTCTTGGCACCTAGATTGACTTCAGGAGTCTTCCTGACCCTGAAGGAATCGTCACCAACTGATTCGTCATGCCCAGATCCTCTCATAAGTCTCATATCCAAGATCTTTTTGACTGCCACTCTTCTCTCCTCCTCATCCTTACTGCAGAGCATTGTCTGCAGAACTGCCTCAGGATGAGCATACCAGGAAGATCTCCTCACAGTCTGCTCCACAATCTGAACAACCTTCCTTGGCTGACTCCTCAGGAGTTCAAGCTGGAAGAGAACATGCCTCGGACCTTCGGAGAACGATGACTTGACCTTGGTGTTGAACCAATTTGGCAAGTCGACACTCACGATGAATTGGACAATAAGTCTCAGGTTGTGAAGCTGGTTCCCTTTCAATTTATGATGAGCGACCCAAATTCTGCAGAACCTGAGAGCCGTTGTGAGCCACCTAGAATGTGAGACTGGACCTATCTGCAGGTAAGCAAGTCTATCAGGCATGACCCCCAGTTTTGATGGCACTGCAAATCATGTAACCATAGTACTGGTCAGTACTCAGGTCGTCAATGACAGTATGTGCAAGCTCAACGAGTGGAGGGCCAACTGTGATTTTTTCAAAGCTCGGATTTATTTCTAACTCAGTGGCAGAGTCAGCATCTTCCCAGAGAGGACCCAGACCATCTGTTGTTTGAAAGGTCTTGCCATCAGCTCCTGGATCAGATGTCTGAGTGGCAACTCGTTGGTGTGGAGGTCTAAACAATCCAGACCAGCTTCCTCCCAATCTTCCGCTCTATCACTGTACCAGCCCCCCTTGCCACCCCTGTGTTCGTGTTGGTGCTGTCCTCCAATGGCCTGCAGGGTCTGGTCTACGTTCCTCTCTCTGAGCCAGTTCACAATGTTATCTGCCACTATCTCAACTGGTTTCCTGATGTCATCTTTCTCTGGAGTGAAATGCCACAAATACTTCCCTCCTGGTTCACTGCAGCAGGAGTAGTGTTCCTCCTTCACCATGGCAGGGAACAACTTGTCAGAATCTCCAACTTTCATGAACACTTTA